CGTTCATTAAATCTCGAACCACTTGATATTTGATGGTATCCTTAACATAGACGCATACACCTCCATGCAGGTCATTTATCCTGTCGCGACGTATTAGGTTGTAGCCATGGATAGCGACGATATTTTCGGGAATGTGATCGCGGAGCCAAGTTTCTGTTATGCATACTAAATCAAAATCAGCATGCAAAACAACGTCGCGGACTTCATCAATTTTGGGCGATAAAGACATGACGTTTGAGAGTAACAAAGATGGCACAAAAACCCTTTGCTGGTTATCAGACAGGCTGGTGATGTTGGGTGCAGTAACTGGAACAAACACGCAGTTCAGAAGGTTTCGAGATCTTGCTGTTCTTGTAGCTTCACGGTTCAGAGGTCGAGGGTAAACTTTGCCAATTTGATGTTGCCTATGCTTTTCACGAGATTTAAACTGCTTGCCAGCCCTTCTGCCACGATATCGTGGCCACCTCTTCCTGCCCCAGTGATTTACAAACGGAGTTAAACCCATGTTGGAAAACATAAAGTTAAAATGAAATGAATATTCGAAGAAATTACAKAGCACTTAAAATTACGGACTGCTGCCACGGGGCGCATACATAAAAATGTATTGTCATCGTTGGTTGTGACAGTGGCTTGATAAATAACACATTTCTTCAAGCACTGGCCATTCAGTGGATAATCAATGGGTTTTCTACAGTTGCAGGTTTTATCCTTGTTGTCGACAACTGTTTTATGTAAGGTTGATTTGTTGTGRCCGTCAATGGATTGTTKAWTRTTGGGCATGCAACTGTAGCTAATCTTGACTGTGTTACGTTTAAATATCTTGTGTAGTATGTGATCTTTAGGGAATTCTTCGTCAATAATCTTGAGAAAGCAGCGACCAATRTTAGTTTCAACGTTYCTACTGTAGGGAGGATTATACCAGATTATGTCTCTTTGACGGTTTTTTCGTCTGTTGTTGTTGGGAGTGGAAGGGTTGGTATTCATAATAGGTGTGAATGCGAGTCGATGCTTATATCCACAGTCATTAAGGGCTTTCTGGTATAGGGGTATAGCTGTGTTAAAGGATTCTTCATCATAGGAAATTTCCGAGAGACGCTTGTTAATTGCTTTAAGGATGTTATCAATTATTCTCGGTGGGTGGCTGGACAGCTTGTTAACGTAGAGAGGGACGTTGTTAGGTTTAGTGTAGGGCATGTACTTTCCATTTATGAGATTGAGGGTCACGTCGAGAAAATTGACGATTTTTTKGTTAGCTTCTATGGTGATTTTGAGRCCATGCTTGCTAAAAAAACTGCACAAATCATTTTTTATCATCTCAATCTTGCGGAGTGACGCGTTGATAACTCCAAAACCATCATCTCTATACAGGCCAAAACTATTACCGTATTTTTCTTTTATGCTCTTTAGTAGGAAAGCACCAACGAGAACACACGATTCTGCTCCATCACAGCTACCCATAGTAACATCAAAAAGATTGGAGGATGATTTCTTTACCCATGTCTCGCCTGACATGAGACATGAGACATGGGTAAAGAAATCATCCTCCAATCTTTTTGATGTTACTAACATTTCATAAATATATATTTTTACTCTTGACTGGAAAATAATGCACAAATTGTATATAACTAATAAGCTGTATTTAGGAAAAAAGTTCAAATTCTTGAAATAATAATTACAAAACATCCATGCTGTGCATATATATGGTATGAAAGTTTGAGGCAATTGCTGTAAATACTGAACTGGGACCACTTTAGACCAAAGCAGACAATTGAAAAAAAGGACAACCAGACATAGATAGGAATAATAACAACTAACCAGTCACATTTTARAGTAATTTTTTCCTCATTAAAAACTTTGCAGTTCCACTTAAAGCATCTTCACCTTCAATTGATGGACCATGCTGTGGCTACAATATTTAGAGCATGCAAGCCTGAATTAAAGCAAATCTGAACAGCTACATTATATAATTATATTTATACAGCTATTAGACATAAGACACAATTATTTTAAGTTAGGAMAATATAGGAAATTGATCTCTGGATTACTAGTGCAGTCAAGTGAATAGAAGAATTTAAAAGACTGTGCATTAAACTATGTCTAATACAGAGCACATTGATATGATCTTGAAATAGATGGAATTGATGCCCAGTATTAAAGACAAAACAAATTAATTTCAAGTTTAGGTGCTCTGATGTTTTCTCCAAAGGCAGAAATAATATCATGATAATAGTGTGAAGCAACTGTGGTTTCATTTTTTTTAGGACAAATAAATTTAAAATATGTGTGTTGCCAATTTGATGCCCTTGGATTGCAACATTACCAGTACCCTGCTTTATGGCTCGCTACAAAAAAACATTGATTGACTTCACCAAGAAATCAGAACATATGAAAAKTCTCACATTTAAAAACAACAACATACCTATAACTACAAAACAGTGACATAAAGTTACACAAGTCAAACAATTGAAATGATTTAAGTTTTTAGTTAAACAAAATATTTTCTCCATAGGGATAGTGCATTCATTAATCATTAATTATAAATTACAATGATTGGATGTGAGTTTTTTTTGGTTACTTACAGAATAGACAATCAAAATTTTTCTATCATTTCTCTATATAACCCTTCAAATGCAGACTACAAAAATGCTAATAGCTATAATAGCAATAAATATCAAAATACAGACAGTACCTGTAATTTTTGACATGTTTTTTTGTATGTTCGAAATATTTTTTTGCTGAAATAGTTGCAATTTCACAAATGCAATTATTACACTGTATGTAGGGTATTTTCAAAATATTATTTAAATCTTGCAGATCTTACCTGTTCTGAGACTCTCGGCAATCCTATCCATCAGAAGATTAGAACAGAACTTACACTTTAAAGTGCTGGCAGGAGTTTTGGGGTAACCACAGTAACAGAATTCAGGATTGGAAATGGCTTGCTTGGGTATGTAGCTTAGAGAGCTTGAGTTGGTGGATTTCAAAATATTGTACCCTTTTTCTCGAAGCCATACCAGAGAGATATATTCGTGGCGGAAGATTTGTGACCAGCGTGAATGGTAGTTGGTATTAGTACAGTACTTTGAAACAAACTGATGTTTTGCTTCCCTGCCTTCCATTGAATTTAAGGCCAAGCCTTTCCCATATTTCTCCTTCATCTCTTTAACATGCACTGGCACTACATGAGCTAGTGTCCAAGCAGTTGGGTGGTGTAGAAAATACATTACATTAATTCGATGCTATTTTTTGCAAAGTCCTTGCAGTTCTGTGATTTGCTGGTCAGAAATATTAAGAGCCGCTTCGCGCAAAAACCAGACAAAACACTGAAATTGTTTGGCAAGGCTCAAAAAATCAAATCTATTCATRTTTTGTATATTGATAAGGTATCATTAGGTAACAATCGCTGTGTAATTGGTTTTTGAAAATATTTAATTTTTCGCAAGAAAATCGCGAATTAATGTCACATACTGGGCCTTTGCTTGACAGATGCTTGATTGCTAAAAATAGCTCTCAAAATAGCCAAACTTTATACTGAGTTCATGTAAAAACTGAAATAGCTATTTTAAAAGTTTAAATTGCAGCTTTCTTAATAACTCTTTGATATTTATTTCAGTGATTTTCAGACCATTTAATTAAAAGGAAAATTTTCTGGAACTCGAAATATTCGCATATGTATTTTTATATGCAAATTAGTACCTTTACAAAACGATCATTTTTTATACGTGCAAGTATTTTGTTTGCAATAAAATTCCGCGTGGTTACTAAACAAGAGATGAGTTTTTCAAATACATAAAAATTAGTCTGGGCAAATGACTCTCAGTTGCATAGAAATGAATACTTCTGGCKATAATAATCCGTTSAAACACCAARTRTTTTAAACAACCGAAATTCATTTACATTGCCTAAAATGTTCAAAGAAAACAAGCTTAACCCTTTTTATTTCAATAACATACGTTTAATGTTGATTAGATGTTTATATGCTTTGAAAATTGTTGGGTTAATACAACTGACAAAATATGTGTTTWCGCTGATAATTGTGACTGGAATAAGTCATTCCWACGCACMTGAAAGTGATTTGCCCAGACTTATGATTATTTCTTTGTAAAGCTCATTCCTTGCTTAGTTATCACGCCGAATTTCATTGCAAACAAAATACTTGCACATAGAAAAAATAATCTTTTTTTCTAGGTACTAATAAACACTTCGAGTTCTAGAAAATTTTCTTTTGAATTAAATGCTCTGAAAATCAACGAAATAAATAAAAAAGAGTTACTTAGAAAGCCAAAATTTAAATTTTTGAAATTACTTTTTTACATTTCACACAAGCTCGGTAGAAAGTTTGGCTATTTCGAGTGCTATTTTTAGCCATCAAACATTTGTCACTCAAAGGCCCAGTATGTGAAATTGTTTAGCGATTTTCTTGCGAAAAATGAAATATTTTCAAAAACCAATCACACAGCGATTGTTACCTAATCATACCTTATCAATATACAAAATATGAATAGATTTGATTTTTCGAGCCTTGCCAAGATATGTCTGATTTTTGCGCGAAGTGGCTCTTAA